ACTAATGCAGTGCCTAATGACTGATATGTGGCCACTGTTGTTTTATTGTTATTCTGTTTCCACAAAATTTCTTTCAGTTTATGAAATAAAGGATCATCAGAGAATCCTGATGACCTCAGGGACACTGATATGTCTTGCATTTGCAGAAAGATCTCTCCACAAGCTTCTGAACCAGCTAGACAGCAGATGATGAGTACATTTATTTTTATGGATTATAATTCAGTAGTTTTAAACTGAACATTCAGATTTAACATTTTATCAGTCTCAAAAAGAAAAAAAAAATGAAGGTTTGCATTGCTTTAAGCACCTGATATACCCTCTGCAAAGTAATTTTTGTAGAGGGGTAAAAGATGCATTTAATTTACATTCCTCTTTTGAAATTGTCACAGCAGTTTGAAATTATTTATAGGAAGCTTATTCTGAAAAGACAGTGTTTAAAAGTTATGTATATCTAAAAAATGTAAAGTAACTGGTTAAAAATGTAGTGTGAAACTCTTTGGTAATAGGATTGTTTTACAAATGCAGTGTCTTGTGTGATAATAGAAATCAAAAGTTCAAACCTTTGGGATGGTTATATTTTTAAAGAAATCTCCTGTGTTCACCTAGGCTGCGTCAGCTCAATTTTATCTATTTTATCTATTGTTTGATGCAATTTATTCTTGCAGTTACAAAGCTGAATTTTTTAGCAGCCATAACTGCAATCTTCAGTGTCACACGATCCTTCAGAAATCATTTTAACACATTTGGTGTTCAAGGAACATGTTAGATTATTATCAATGCTTTAAAAATGCGTACTGACCTCAAACTTTTTGAATGTTAATGTAAATAGCACACGTACAATGTAGGAATGAAGTGTGGGTTACATTAAATACTGCCAAAATATTTTACTCATTTATATTTAAAGAGAAAAGAAACCTAAGACTCGGTTATGTTCGGTTGTTTGTACTGTCTGCTGCCTGTGGTTAGATGCTTTCGAGCGGGATACCATGACCTGGATCTGAGCTGTGGAAAGGCATTTCAAGACCCAAGCTGTCTTATGTGATCCAGACTGAAATGATGGACATTTAATGAGTTAAGATGAAACACTATACCCTGGAGATGTGGACAGACGAGCAGCCAAGACAGACTGTTTCAACATTTCTGCATCTCTCTTGGCAGGTCAAAATAACAGGTCATAGGAGTAGATTGTTTTTGCTAAATTTCGTTTTTCTAGTCTCACATATGTCTTATATAATGGTGCTCTGCAACATCACACAGCATGCACAGCGGGCACGCCATTATTCTGTCTGAACAAAACCAGAATGTACTTTGAATGATTTTATGAGATGCTTCTGAGCACGTTTTTCCAGTATATTAAAGTTTAACTTACTGAGTAGGCCATTGACCAATAGGTGGCAGAAGACGTCAATATGATGATAGATGGGTACGGGACATGTGCTCCACTGATCACTAATATGAAGCACACCGATCCAAAGGGGATGTGCAGGCCCGCTGTCAATCTACAGTACACCCACTGAACTCCACAGAAAAGAAAAAAAAAACATATTCCTTGATTCTTGAATGTTGATTTCTTAAGCATTTTGGCTAAATTGATGATGCTTTCACCCAGCAGAAAGAGTGTAGTATACAGCTTTTATTAAAAATAATTCTCCATTCTCCAAAAAAACTTTTTAAAACCAAGCTCTAATAATTAGTCCCAAATGTAGGACAGAAACATCCAAAAATTCCTTTAAAAGTCCTAAATTGCATCCTAGGTCTCTAGGTTTGCTAGAAATAAGCCTGAAATAAGGTGACAGAAACTTACATTTCTTGTGTACTTGATGCACACTATTGTTCAAAAGTTTGGCCTTCATGAGATTTTTAAATATGTCTGAAATGATGTATTTGATTCAATAAAGATCAATTTAATTTATTCTTTGATTTCAATGATGTATTTTCATCCTTATTACTTCAGTCTTCAGTGTCACATGGTACTTCAGAGATCATTCTAATATACTGATCTGGTACTCAAGAAACAATTCTGTATATTAAACGGTCGAAAACCATTTTCTGCTTAATATGTTTGTGGAAACTAATGCATTCAAATTAGAAACCATTTTGTCACTCTTGAGAGAATTAAATAATTTGTTTAAAAAGGTCATTTTACCTCATGACATTTGAAGTTTTACAGTGTAAATGAAGACACGAGATTATTGCATGACTCACTTTGTGAGCATGTTGGTCTTATTCACAAATACTGTAACTTACACCAAAGGCGTAACCTCCAGTAAGAGGGTCATTATTCCACAATAAACCACAATAGCGTTTTGTGCAAACGATTGTCTCTCTGTGCATTATCCCACTTGTTAAATGGCATGTTGCCAAATAAATAACTAAATGGATGCTTGAGCTGAAATTATTTTAGAATGTTAAAAGAAAGAGGCTATGGAGACCCGTGTTACACAGCCATGGAAATTGGTTGTCAGGCAACGATCAAATATACAGTTTAGCAGTCATAAAGTGTAAACACTTGATCACAGACTGTCAGAATCAGAATCGAGTGCTCCAGAGAGCCATGTAATAAAAACAACTACTGTGGCATAGTGAATGCGAATCAATTTATTGCTCTAAAAAAGAACCATATGTGGAACATAAACCAACGAAACATTTGCTAAACATTTGAGCTGGCAACTAAAACTATCAGAGGAAATCCAACATTTGTAACATGTAACATTTTCTTTCATGTCATTTATCTCCTTGCACAGAGATATGAGTTAGCAGAACCAAATCTTAATATATTCAAGCTAAACTGGAATCTCTGAAAACGCTGTGTTAGAAAACACTGATCTAATGACCATACTGCCGTTTTGCATCTCCCCAGGAGTCTTGTGTGCTGTTATTTTACACTACTTTAGCCTGACAAGTCAAACCAAATGCTTCTTTTCTGGTGTGATTTATTTCTCACAGTTTCTGCTAAACAATTTTGTTTTGAGACACCAGGACCACTGTTTTCCTGCAAACTTGCGTCATTGTGATCTCACCGGATTTGTCAACAGTTACATGACTTGTGGTCTGATGATTATTGTGACAGAATAATGCTTGATAATTTATTTAGTATTTTTCTCTCATTGAGACCACTCTGGATTCGTTTAGTGCTGTAAGCTTAATGGGTTCATTTTGAAAGTTCTTGAGACTTTGAAAAATCAAGAAGAGCATTGAAGCATATTGTTGATATAAGGAAACAAGATGAGAAATATTTTAGTGCAAAATTGTTTTGTGAGACCTTTCTGGAAATTCCCATCAATATTTTAGATTTGTGCAAGACCTAATTTATGAATGTGAAGTAGGGTTGGGCTGATGGACGATGCCATCATCCATCGCCGATGGCCATCAAACTTCACGATGCCAAGCCAGTATCGCGATCCATCACCCCGATCCACATTTATGTTGATATATAACTTATTATTTGCATGTCATTTTAATAGCAATAACAGTCTTTTCATGAGCTGTGTTAAACGTTACATATAGCTACCGCTTGCATGGCTGACAGCATCATGAGGATTAAATGAAGGATTATACAGTACCTCTTGCGCTTAAAATGTGTAGATTCAGTTGCAAACGCTGTTACCTGCAAACCCCGTCCCACAGACTTTACAGTGAATGTCTTTAGTTATTTTCATAGCGGACTTTAAGCCACTAGAAGTCTTTTTTCCACTCTTGGAAAAGTGTAAATAGTAGATTAACATTCTGCACATGATCACTAATAAGATGTGCCATTATTATTAAGGTGTATTCTAAAACAAAATCTGTCAGTGTTATTTTCATTCTCTCATCTTCAGCGCTTCACATTTTTGCGGTCGTAGCTCCTGCCATCTGAAGGCAGAAGGCATTGACTGAGTGATTGATAGCTGATATTAACCAATCATTCTCGTTCCGTTCTAGAGCAGTGGGCCAATAAGAACACTAAGACGGGGCAAGCATTGCAGGCTTTTTTTACTTCAACAAGTTCACATAACAACTGTTTATCTGTTCCTGAGTGCTGCGTTTGGCATTTTTACGTTCAAAGATGCATTCTGCATAAATGTCTTCTAAATCCACGCAGGATGTTGCAATGAAAACAGTAAAAATGTATTTTAAGGTCGCATAGATAAAATTTTGGGCGCATATGCGACCAAAACGGTTTAGCCCTAGCATCTTTACTTTATTATTTACTCATAATAATAATAAAATAAGGAAGTTATTGTCAATCACAATACAAATTACAGTGAACTCCAAACGAAGTCTCCTCCACCAGTTGTGGGAAAAGCCATTAGAATGACACAGATCACTTTGCCTATTCATGCCAGAGTCCTGCGTAAAAAAAAAGTGATTGACAGGTGATCATTTGTTTGTAACTTTTATGGTTTGGTTATAGGTAAAGCAAAGACCATATGGGTCAGGTAGTGAAAACGGTAGGTACAATTAATTAATTTGTTAGAATTCATTGATATTTAACAATGACCCCCACCTCCCTCGCCTACGACGGCGGTGCCATCGTCCATCGCAATGTTTCACATTAGACATCATACGATGCCAAATTGGTCAACATCACCCAACCCTAATGTGAAGTCTATATCAAAAATGAAAGACATGAAATTTCTTTATAAACAAGGACTAAGCTTCACATTGAAAAGTAGACTAAAAAGGCGTGTTGAAGAAAAACGAAAAACGTGAAGATTCTATAAAACAGTGAAGATGAATTAAACCTGTACAATTGTATTTCTGCTTTTTTCTTAATAATTATTAAACAAATATGTGAAGTAAAAAATTATTTCAAAAGGCTTTACCTGTGTTAGATGTCTTTAAAATAAAAACATGTTGATTTTAACAGCTCAGTTTAAATGATAATTTTAGTTTGAATTCACACCCATGAACTAGAAGGCAGCCTTATAGTTCTTCATTTCCCCTCTGAATTTAGCTTTTGATTACACCTGAACAGAATGTAAACAGACGATTCATCAATTCTGTTTCCCTCTGTGTAGGAGCTGAAACTATCAAGAAGTACTGGAGCCGATATTATCAAGGTTCCCAAGGAGTAGTGTTTGTCCTCAACAGTGCCGCGTCAGATGAAGAGATGGAGGCATCCCGGTCTGAGCTCCACCTGGCCTTACAGCATCCTCAGCTGTGCACCCTTCCTTTCCTCGTCCTCGCCAACCACCAGGATTCACCAGCTGCCCGTTCTGTATCAGAGGTATGGTAACTTTCCACACCAAATATAGTTCTATGTCAAGTGCTGACTGTCTTCTCTGTGATCCTCCGCTGTTGAGGGTTGCTGGCCTCTGTTTGTACACACTCTCTGAAGTGTTTGGACTGAGCGATGGGAAGCATGCATTTTGGAGAGCGTCCTGTTGCCATGCAATAAGAGCTGTTGTTTATGGTCAGTCTTGGGAGATTACAGTACGGGGCTGGGATAGGATGTTTTGGGGAGCTCCCCCTCCCTATTGCGTCTTAGAACTAGGACTGACGATGTAAACATGCTGTGACGTGGGCTGGCTGACTAATAGTCTGTTTCCACACACTGAGAAAACCCGGTAGAGGTTGTTCTCCTCCAGAGGAAGTATGACTGAGCTGCAGGAGGCACTTGAAATTTTCCAAGTATGTATTAAATCTAGACACAGACGTAAGTATGGCAATCTGGAGCTAGAGTTATGCATCAAAAACTGGAAAATATCCATCGATACACGGATAACGTGTACATTTTTAAAAGAAATTTAGCAGAATTTAAAGGGACAGTTCATCCAAAAATTTTAATTGTGCCATCAGTTGCTCATTCTCCACTTGTTTTGTTAAACACAAAAGAGGATATTTGGAAGAAAATGTAACCATTGTAAAGATGATATTGGGTTGGCAGTTCAATCCTGTGATCAGATGTAGACCACAGATTGAAGCAAGTTAATCCCTCCTCTGCTGACTCCTTCTAGCCAGTCAGGCTGAAGGTATATCCACAGCAGATTACCAATTTACAACTGATTGTATTTTAAAAACATTTTGCGTTCTTAGAGATGCAGACTGTTATTATTAATCCTGTATCTGGCACCTTTTGGCTCCCCCAACAGAAACTGTTATCTGTGACGCAGTTTAAGAATTCAAACAGATGCCTGTTGGCTAACTCCACAGATTATATCACTGGCCAATAAATGTGACTCACAATTGAACAATTTAGGCTTGAAAAGCACTTTTTTATTTTCAGGTTTATTCGTTCCTTAATGTGTAGACTTAATAGAAAGGTAAGGTTATATGTCAAGTACTGTAGATCTGTAGAGTATTAGTAGAGGGTTATGAGACTGTTATGGCCCTGATATACATCAAATTAAAACAGTTGAGAAGGCTGAGTGACGTATACTGTTTTCAACACTCACACCCACGCACTGTAGTAGATGGGGTTGTAAATGTGTCATGCTGCTTGCGTGTACCCATAAACACAATGGTGGCTGAGAGAAAAACGATTTCATAAATATCTGGCAAACAGCCTTCTCCACGAGAATCGGCACATAGCCTTACACATCTTTTTCTTTTTGTTGTGAACAGACACTGAATTGTGCCGTTAGGGTGTCATGACAAGGTGGGCTTCTCGTCCAATGTGAGACTTCCTCCAAGTTTTGAAAATCTTTTGGTGAAAGAATTAGGGGTGCATGATTATCCGAAAAAAGATCACAAATTTCGACCCTACACACGATCTAATATCAGCTTTTCTACGGTTCAGCCAATTATATTTTCAAGGTCAGGAGAGAAGTGTAAAGGCGGATGCACAAGTCTTCACAGTTGGCTCAGTTGGTGTTTCTGTGTGGAGTTTGCATGTTCGCATGTGTTTCCTCTGGGTGCTCTGGTTTCTCCCACTAGGGCTGGGTATCGAGTTCGATACTTTTTAAGCACTTTTGATACTTTTTGTTGATTCACGTAAGTGAATCATAACAGCACAAACTTTTCTGTAACCATATAGTGCTGTGCGCTATCTGTTTTAACCCTTTGGCGTTACATGCTGACTGACTGACTGACAGGTGCGCGATGCGTGAGGCCAGCAAACTCGACGTAGCTTTCAGTTAGGGTGAACACAGTTTCTATAGTTATACTTTATTTATAGATAAAGTATGACTCTGTATATAATCACTTTATCTTGCTGGAGTTTATAGCCGTTTCGCCTTACTTCAGGACGCATTAACACTGCTCTGAAGGTCTAATCGCTGTTTTAAGTTATCCAGAGCTGTATGAATGTACAAATCTTGAATATCACGATATTATTAAATATTACAATTGTAACAACACAGACAGCAACACTTTTGCACAATCGATTCCCAGCTGATTCAGTCGTTTCATAAGAGGACCGCGCTTCTTCTCTTCTTTTTTACTTGTCAACATAAAGGCAGTGAGATGCGCCTTGTTTTCGGCCCCTTGTTCAACTGCAAGACATATTTAACTTGCGGGACGATAACGTATAACCGGTGCCTACAGACACATTTGCCAAAGAAGCAAAATGGAAGAAGAATATTGCTGTTTAACAGACGTGTTGATGCCAAACCAGCGCTTACGTTGACCTGGATCTGCGTAATAAACGCAACAAATAGGCTTTACCTTTTATTTAACAGCTTATAAAGCATGTATGCACATTAATGCAATATCATATTTAAACAACAAATATTTTACAAAAAGTCAACATATGCGCGCGTTGTTGTTGTCTTTTTATCACGCAGCGCGCACTTGAACCGCGAACGAGATATAGCATATAGCAACATAATATTTAAAATAATGATTTCTATTAAAAATGTAAAAGGTTTTGTGATTTATAATAATAACAGCGGGGCAATAAATAAAGGCATATTTTTCTGTGGAGCAAGCAATTTGAGGAAGTCAGCTATTTTTATGTTTTTTTTATGGAAAAAAACAGCCTATGCCGGTTATTAAAAAGAATCAGTCAGTATTTTCGTTTTATAATATAAATTAATTATTTAAGTGGAAATAATTTAGGGCAGTCCTATTTATTTTATTCATTTTATTTAGTTTATTCTGCTCTTCTGTGCTAAACACTGCAGGTGCGAATATGCACCTTATTATTGTTCTATTATTAATATGCTAGCTTATAAAAAACAAATCAGTGTTTTAAAATGCAATATTTAATGTGTCGGACACAAAATAGACACGTCAATTTGTTTAATATAAAATTAATAGTAATCTGACCAGTTAATCGTTAATAACCGATTAATGAGCGGCGGTTGTCGGTTAGCAAAATTAACCGAAATGAACATCCCTACTTCGTATAATTTTCAGTGGCTGGTGTGGCACAGATTGCAGAACTCGCCGAACAGATCCGCCACTTTTGACGCTCATAAACAATCATAAAGCCCTCGTGCTGCAGGAATTATGAGGTTGCTGATGGTGCGCAGCTGTCGTGCAGTAAGGGGTTTGCATTTTTAATAAACTACAGACAGTTTGCGTTCGCTGAACAGTAAGAATGATTCATAAATCCATATGAAACACCCCCTTAAAGGCAAGGCAAGGCAAGTTTATTTATATAGCACATTTCATACACGGTGGCAATTCAAAGTGCTTTACATAAACAAGAATAAACAAGACAAGTTTAGGAACATAAAATGCAGACAATAAAAATTATTAAAAACAGATAAAAACAAATTAAAATGAGTTAAAATAGGTTATAAAAGAATGAAAAAGAAAACGAAAAACATAATAGTGCAATCTGTCGGACGTCGCACAGTGCTCATACAGTAAAGGCACAGCTAAACAGATTTGTTTTCAGTCATGATTTGAATGTGCCTAATGTTGGAGCACATCTGATCATTTCTGGAAGCTGATTCCAGCAGCGAGGGGCGTAGTGGCTAAAGGCAGATTCACCCTGCTTTGACTGAACTCTTTGAATTTCTAGTTTATATGATCCTAAAGATCTGAGCTATCTGTTGGGTTTGTATTCAGTGAGCATATCTGTAATGTATTGAGGTCCTTGGCCATTTAGTGCTTTATAGACAAGTAATAATACTTTAAAATCTATTCTGAATGTAACTGGCAGCCAGTGTAAAGACCTGAGGACAGGTGTGATGTGCTCTGATTTGCTGGTTCTGGTCAGAATTCTGGCCGCAGCGTTCTGGATGAGCTGTAACTGTCTGACTGTCTTTTTGGGAAGGCCAGTGAGGAGGCAATTGCAGTAATCCACCCTGCTGCTGATAAAAGCATGAACAAGTTTCTCTAAGTCTTCACTGGAAACAAAGCATCTGATTCTTGCAATATTTTTGAGATGATAGTATGCTGATTTACTAACTGCTAAGACATAACTGTTGAAACTCAGATCTGACTCCAGAGTCACACCAAGATGCTTGACCTTATTTTTTGTTATTTGACCCTTTAAGCCAAGGTATGCATTCACCTTGAGAACCTCATCTCTGTTCCCAAATGCAATGACTTCAGTTTTCTCTTTGTTTAACTGAAGAAAATTTTGGAACATCCAATTGTTAATTTTATCAATGCATTGGCAGAGGTTGTCAATAGGGCTGTAGTCATTAGGCAGTAAGGCTAGGTAAATCTGAGTGTCATCAGCATAGCTGTGGTAGGAGATTTGGTTCTTTCTCATTATTTGGCTCAGGGGGAGCATATAAAGGTTGAACAGGAGCGGTGCCAGAATCGAGCCTTGTGGGACTCCACACGTCATGGGTGTCCACCTCGACCTGTTGTCACCTATACTGACATAGTAACCTCTCCCTTCAAGGTAAGATCTGAACCATTTGAGGATGTCCCAGACTGCCCAACCCAGTTTTCCAGCCTATCCAGAAGTATGCTGTGATCGACAGTGTCAAATGCAGCACTTAGATCGAGCAGTACCAGCACTGTTATTTTACCTGAATCTGTATTTAGGCGTATACCATTGATTATCTTTATAAGAGCGCTCTCTGTACTGTGATGTGCTCTGAAACCAGATTGAAAATGGTCTAAACACCCCCTGAAGTTTAAGAACTTGTTGACCTGGTTGAAAACAACTTTTTCAATGATTTTGCCAATGAAAGAGAGATTTGAGACTGGTCTGTAATTGCTCAATAGGGTGTTTTCCAGGTTGCTCTTCTTCAAGAGGGGTTTAACAACTGCAGTTTTAAATGAGTTTGGAAAAATCCCTGAGAGAAGTGAAGCATTTACCACTTTTAGAAGATCCATTTCTAAACAGGTAAACACCGTTTTGAAGAATCGTTTAAAAGT